GGTATTGATGTGTTGAATGTTATTCTATTTCTCTAGGAATCTGGAGAAGGTGTAGGTGGTTATGCGAAGGTGATGTCAAAGGAGTTCATTGAAGCTGAAATGGCCTTATTTGCAGCCCAATGCAAAGAGATAGATGTGCTAATCACTACAGCTTTAATTCCTGGAAAACCTGCTCCCAAACTCATATCAAGAGTAAAATTTTTATTTTGAACCAATTTTCTCTTATTGCTTTAACATTATTTTTTGTGATAATCTTATGCTATGTTCAAGGTAGGGAGGTACTTTATTTATATCACACTAGAGCTGCACAAGGGGCTATTACAAGCAGTCTGGTAAACATTCCTCAGGGTGATCTGAAAACATGCCATCACAATTTTGATCCTCTGCAGAGAGGAAGACTCCCATGCTTTGGTAGCCTGACGACCTGCGCGAAGCTGAGCGCTTTATGCTTAAACAGTTTAACGAGCAGATCAAGGTGGTCACGCGCCCGCTTACTGACCGCATGCAGAGTTGGCAAGGTTTAGGACAATGGATTAATCCACGGTTTAAACCGTCTTGTCTTAAACTGTCCAAAACCCCTTTGTTCAAATTCTCCAAGACCCTTTTGTTCTAATTATGTCACAATTTTAAAAAAATAATGTGAAAAATAAAAGGTTAATTTTTGAACTAGAAACAAAATGAAGAGAAGTTTTTGTTTTATTAAAAACGTTCATTATTATTTTTAATATTGCATTATTTATCTTTATGCAAAAACATAATTTATCACTATTAAAAGCTTAAAGATATTCACTTTTGTTATTAGGTGAATTGTGCAGCTTCAAAAGTTATTAATCTTTTCCTATTATATTACATTATATTATTTTCCTTCAATAATTTAAAGTAAAAAGGTAAAAGTATCAAATATTTATTAATATATGTAATTATTATGTGTATAATGGTTATACATATAAAATTTTTACCTTTTAAAAATGTTCAAGGTTTTGGACAGTTTAAGATAGTAAAACCCATGTGTCCTGTCCAAAACCAGTTTAGGAAGTCCAAAACCCCAACCCTGGACCACAGCCAGTGATGTTTAACTTCAGTGTTCTACTGGGAACAGTGTCTTTACGATCAGTCTACTGCAGGACCTGCTATCTTCAAACGCATATCATAATTCAAATACATATCTTATTTAGCATGTGTGCAGTTATTAAGTATGTTACTTACAACCTTAAAAGTTTAGTAAGAAGTTTGGCTTTAAAATGAACACAGTAATTAACAATTTTAGATATTTAAGAATAATAAATTCTCATATTATATTTTTATAAATAAGAAACAAGCACCTTTATGTAAAAATCTTCATTTGTTTTTTGCAATTTTCCTAAACAGAAATTAGAAAACATATTTAATTTTAACAAATAAAGTAAACAGGATAATTTTGATTATTATGNATAATTTTGATTATTATGTGAACTTTACTGTACTTATCAAATCGGGGAAAAGGAGAAGTCAGTCTAGTTTTTAAACTACGGTTAAATATTTTTATGATAAATATTTTTTTAAATTGCTGTTTTTATAAATACAACTAAGGTTGAAACCTTTTGCTCTTGATAAAATTGTTTTTAGCTTGAAAAAAAATGACATCATTTTTGCTGTTAATGATAAGTTTTGATGAATCAAAATTTCTAGAACTACACCAGCTAAAATTGCTCGTGTGATAATAATTTTAAAATGAATTAACATGTATGGTTTAAAATGAATTAACATGGTTAACGTGTATCTTTTGCGGTGTATTGTTTTTCTGAATGTACTTGTTTTGTAAATATCGAACATGTTGTGAATATGTATTTTTAATCTCTGTGTGCAATTTAATTAATCTGATGCTTATTATTTAGGCTATGGTTGAGTCGATGAAACCTGGATCCATTGTTGTTGATTTAGCCTCAGAGGCAGGTGGAAATGTAGAAACTACTAAACCTGGAGAAATATATGTCCACAATGGAGTCATACACATAGGGTACACAGATTTGCCCAGTAGATTGCCAACACAAGCTTCTACATTATATGCTAACAACATATCTAAGTTCCTTTTATCCATAGGTGTGTTTCACTTGGCATTCTCAAAATATAGATTGTTTTGACACTTTTATGTGTATAAAAACTGAGACTCGTATAAATTAGAACAATTATATATTTTAAGTATTATCTATAACCTGTTCATATCAGCCACCATTAACTACACGGGGAGTCTTTATCTGGCCTGGGATTGAACCCACGAAATCTTGGACATGGGCTCAGTGCCCTACCAACCAGGCTATCCCGGCCCTACTTGGTGTGATTGTTATATCGTAAGTGCATAAAAATATGAATATGTACTATGACCCAAAAAATAAGAGACTAATCTTGTTAAAATAATGTTATAGAGCCGTGGTGGCTCAGGGGGTAGAGCGCTCGCCTCCCTATGAGGTGACCTGAATTCGATCCCAGGGATAGCTGGTTGATTCGAATTCTGCACCTGGCTCGCAGTAACCACAGTGCTGATGCAAATTATCCTCAGTGGTACATGATCATGGGGTTACAGTCCCCTTGCCGCCAAGTTAACCGTGAAAGGTTTTCATGGTTTTCCTCTCCATGTAACTCAAATGCGGGTTACTTCCATCAAAAAAACCCTCCAGGAAGGCAAATTTCTCTCAATACTTGATCCATGGTTCTCTTGTCTTCTGGATTGGATTCAAAATTACAAGGCTACAGAGTGAACATTAGTAGCCGTAAACCCTAAATTGGGTCGACTCTTCAATGCCGGTTATATAATAAAAATAATATTGCACTCATATATCAAAAATTAACTATTAGAATATATAAAACAAAGTAACTTGTTTGTTTTTTTTAAAAATAATATCTGAGCAAAGTAATCTGTAAAATAATACATTGGCGAAAAATATAATGAAAAATAAAGAAACGTATTTAAAAGATAAAAAAAGTATATATTTAAAACTATATGCTTATATGTACTAGTAAAACTTTAATAACTATTCTATGCAATTTCTTCAGTAGTTCATTTCATTGGTGAATATTATTTCACAAAAACCATGAATGTTAGAAGGTATGTAATTGGAAATGTATTGACATTTAGAATTGAATGTGCATCTATGTATCTAGATAATGGGATTTTTATTGTATATTTCATTTTCAATTAATTTTTTTAATAATGTAAACAGTTTACGAAAAATAATTTCTGAAAAAAATACTCATTTAATTTTTAAAGTAAACGTAGTTAATTTTGAAATTTATTTGAAAATGATTATCATAATAATTTGTAGTTTTCATTGCCGTTGTAATATACAGGGTATCCGCGCACTTGGAAAGTCGTGAAAAATCATGGAAAGTCATGAATTTCAGTATTGAACAAAGTTTGTCATGATTTTAACTATTTTTTTTTTAAAAAAAATCATGGAAGGTCATGGATTTAGGTCACCAAAAAATCATGGAAATAGGTCACCAAATTTTCAAAATGGATTTTACCCCTCTCCCTAATTTCATGGTGTTCCGAATATCTGAATTTGTAACAATATCCCCACTCACGGTCATGTTTTATTAAAATATCAATGTTTTTATCATGTTC